TGCTATACTCTATAAAAACAGAGTTTAACTTGACTTTTGAGATACATTTACACTAGACTTATTTGATTATATTTTATATCAAGCATTTCTAGTAAATAATGTACATCTTAGTGTTATAGTTATTGCATGGGGGGTACAGAGGGGGGCTAGTAAAAGAATTGGGAGGAGGCAGAGCTAATCAACCTTAAGTATGAAACTCACCTACATATATCTGGATTTCATGGGGTACATCTTCTGGGTCTTCTTCATATTCATCTCAATATATGGGATATTACAACTTACATGATTGGTCAGTGTCAAAGAACATACAATTACACAAGTAATCAAAACTGGGCGTCGCCCCCATACTAGAGTAGATGATTGCTATTCTCTATAAAACCAGAGTTAAACTTGACTTGAGATACATTTACATTGGACTTCTTTGATTATACTTTATATTTTTTTCTGGTAAATAATGTACAACTCAGAGCAATGGTTATTGCATGAGGAGGGGTTGGGTTAGTAACAGAATTGGGTATTTTCTGGGTCTTCTTAGTTATCTCAATATACTGTATATAGTTATATGGGAGGGGGGTAGTAACAGAACTTGGAGGTGTGGGGGGAACAAGTCAGCATTTCGTATCAATTTCATCTTCAGAGTTCTGGATTTCATAAGATACATCTTCTGGAGTCTTTCTGATTCATCTCCTGGTGCTATATCAACAATCATTTGTATGAGAATACCAGTCAATACCCATGTCTTGCTGGAATGTCAGGGTTTACAATATGGGCCATATGCATAAGTGCTTTGTAGTAAGCTCTTGACAAGGTGGAAGAAGACTGATCTCGGTTCCTTCATAGTCTTTGATTGTTTTAGTATGGGGTCTAAACTTCTATTTCAATTGGTTTATCTGGTTTTGCTGGTGTAAGACATTGTGGCTTAACATAAATGTTTTTTATATTAATCAGTCTTCTTTTGTTTGTCCAGCATGGCAGCACTACACTTTGCTGTATTCTGTGCTTATCCTAACACATTGATTGAAGGAATAAATAAATGAAATGAAAGATATGTAACCTTTAGAATGCACATGAGAGATGGATTGAAAATGTGTTTATTCCTTGTGACAATATTACTCTCTGGGCCCATATGGGCCCTAAGGAAATATACTAAATTTCATGGATTCTCTGATGGGTTGTTTTGTTTCTGGAGCTGGCAGAAAATACATGTTTTTCAAGATACTTCTAACAGCAGAGTGATTATGTGATAATTAAATCCAAAATTCTATAAACGAACCTGATAGGAGAAGAAGAGGGTGGTGGCACATCACCTTATCAAATGTAGAAAAACATGAGTCCCTTAAGATTAGAATGAGTTCATGAATAAGGATGCAAATAAGAAGCAACTATACCAGTTACACTTAATTGAATGATAAAGACCAGAATATGCCAAGAAAAAATCTACTGTGTAGCAGGTGGGAAATGCCATATCCTTTCCAGTGATCATCATGATAAACCATGACATTTTATTTCTTCCCAGCCCTTCAGGTGAGACAGAAAGATGCTATGAGTATCAGAATGTGTAGTGATGACAATACAATAACAACTATAGATGAGCCTTCTCATAATCTGATCATTTTCGTTCTTTTGTTTTATTGCATGATATTGATATATCAACAATCTCTTAAGAGAAAATACCACTAAACACTTGCAGATTTGAGAGTCATATAGCTGGGACACAATATGGTGCTCCATCTTTTTAAAATGTGCTATCATGCCCCTTCAAAGCATGGCACTTACTTAATCTAGCGAAGGTATGAAGGCTGCATATAATATGCCAGGCCCTAGATGGGAGTAGTAACAGAATAATTGGGAGGGAGAGGTCTGTAACCACTTCCCCACCCTCACCCCACGTAAAAACTATACTACTAAACGTATTTATGAGAAATGTTTTATGTAAATTATATTCGAACATGACTGTATTCACGCCTTCTATGAACTGTGAACAAAGTCAATATTTTACCCAGGGTATATTCGTTAACACTACCCTTGGTAATACGAGCAATATGTGACATCAAGAGGGCTGTAGTAATGGCAGACCATAATTTGAATATTCGAAAAATTTTGGGGAGTTTTCATGTTTGAATTGTAATATATACCTCAGAGCAGGCGTGATATTGACAATGACCCCTTAGGGCTAGGTAAAAAAGTTTTCGAACCCCTCACTCCCTTGCCTAGCCATGTGGAGTATATTTGTCAATATAACACCTGCTCTTCAGTCTATATTTCTTAAATAATTGAAGTATAGATGACAGTGATCTTCCAAGCATAAGCAAGTGGGTGCAGCACCCACCTTAGATTTTGAAAATATGTTTGCACCCACCTGAAAATCCATATGCACCCACATGAAAGTGAGAAAATCATGAAAAATTGGCATATTTTGACCAATTTTGGTCTGAATTGTGAAAATGAAAATTTGGTACCCACCTGAGAAGAAATCCTGGGGAGATCACTGGATGATCTTAAAACTCAAGTTGACCTCTGTTTGTAGAGAATGAACCATATACTGTTGTTGGGATGATTCCCACTTTTGATCACTTATGTAATTGTTTGGTCTTGGACACTAACCTATCATGTTTATTGTAATATCCTATATATTGAGATGAATATTAAGAAGACCTAGAAGATGTACATGTTCCTTAGTAAATCCAGAACGAAGTATTATGAGATTTATACTTGAAGCTGATTAGCGCTGCCCCCTTCCAGTTTCTATTACTAGCCCACCCCCCCCCCCCTCTCTCAACCTGCCTCTCATGCAATAACTATAAAACTCAGGTGTCACTGGTCAGTATCGAGCGATGGTATATGCCATATAAGCCTGGTTTAGTTCAAATATCAAAGTATTACATCAACTATAAAGTAGCTTAAGTCATTGAAAACTATAAATATCTTCTCAACTGACACCAGTGAGATGTACATTATTTACCTGAAATGGTTGATATTAAGTATATAATCAAAGAAGTATAAATGATAAATATATATATATATCGAAAATTCTACTTAAACCCTGCATTTATAGAGAATGGTAATCATCTACTATTATGAAGGTGATGCTGCCTACTTTTGATCACCTATGTAATGGTATGGTCTTTGGCACCAATCATGTAAAATGTAGTACCCATATAGGCCCTATTGAAATGAAAATGAAGAAGACCCAGAAGATGTAACCTTGGAAAATCCAGAACTATATAAATCAGAATTATACCAAGGCTGATTAGCTCTGCCCCATCCAAATTCTGTTACTACCACCCCCCCCCCGCTTCCCATGCAACAACTTTTACACTTAGATGTACTAGTACATTATATTTACCAGAAATGCATGATATTAAGTATATTCAAAGAACTTCAATATAAATGTATCTCAAAAGTCAAGTTAAACTCTGTCTTTTCAGAGAATGGCATTCATTTACTAATATGGGGGCGACGCCCACTTTTGATCACTTATGTAGTAGTATGGTCTTTGACACTTACCAATTATATAAATTGCAATATCCTTTATGCTTAAACAAATGCTTGAACTTCCCTGGCAATTTTGGGTGTGCTAAAATATTCTTATATCTGTTGATTTGAAAAAAATCCACATTCTATATTATGTACCTGTACAGGTTTTGCCAAAATTAAGGATTTTTCAATGAAAATTGTGGTTTCCATGACAACCATGAGTGACAGGTGATTGAAACTTAACATACTACCTCAGCATGATCCAATCAACTCCCCATAAAATTATTATGATGATTTAAGACCAACTGAATGATTTATTCTATGATGATAAAGTACCCCCTGTAATTTTCCATTTTAGGGTCGAAAACGCCAATTTGACAACTTTCGCCCCGGATACGGCGCGTCAGACAAACATTTTCTGAAGTATCACATAAAAATACATAAGAAACAAGTAATTTCAATTTGTTCACGAACTAATACATTTTTGGGTGCTAGCTTACTACCTAATATAAATGTAATGATAAAAGCAGTATAATTATTTTGAAAAATCAGATGAATTTATTTTTGTTCATGGGGAGATCATAATGGAGGGTGCACTAGATCCTTTGCCCCCCTTGTTAATTTCTGGATCCGCCACTGGACTACTGGACTGGACTGGAGATGGGAAGAGTTTTTACTAAAATACATTCTAAAAAGTTCTTGACACCAATAAGTTGTAGTTCGAAGGTCGAAGGTTTTCAGTACATTCCAAAAAGGTATAACATACAAAATTTAATTTGGCCTATAAGCAAGATTGTCATTAGACAGCGTTTATATATTCTTCGAATTATTCACATATAAACTCACTCAACTGCTTTTTCAGTTTCTAGCAAAAAACGTAAAATAACACACCTAAAATGGTCGCCATTTTTTAAAGTGACCGCATATTAGCCAGACTGTCATAGAAAAGTATGTTTCTAAGTATTCGCATATAAAATTTCAACAAGATCGCTTTAAAACGTCTCATACACTACAATAATCACACAAAGCAGCAAGCGTAGAAAGACCAAAATATGAAAAGTAATTCACATTGGGTCCAAAACAATAGACGAATGATGAGATTTGATACAGGAGGCACAATACGAGATATAGATTTTAGATAGATATTCAAACAAATGCGAAATCAAGTTATTATGCGGCAGAAATATTGTATTGATTCAGTTGAGGTACTTGGCGTTGAGCGAGTTTAATGTCAGAAGTAGTGGCAGTAGTTGATGTTAATCGAAGGTGGTCGCAGTCTCACGGATTCCAAAATGGTATAAAGCAGAGCTTAATTGGATCACGTAAATCTAAACACGTAGGACAATACATACTAGTATGGTTCGGCGGGATTATGAAAAGCAATTCTTTATCTTTTGCAGTATGACCGTCGTGAAGATCTCCAAGTACCACTCTTACGGAGTTCATAATCTCCTCATCTAAATAATTATGCATAAATTGTTTTATTGGTCTTTGAGAGTTGATAAACGGCTGTTGTGTTTTAGGAGGTTGTTCCAACTGAAGGCACTATCAGAGCGGACCCCAACTTCAATGCTGAGAGGTGTTGTGAAGAGGTTAAAGAAGCAATTGGGAAGTGGAGTAAGTGCATTTATAAATATATAGGCCTATGGGCGATTCGTTTCAAAACATCATAGCCAATGCTAAAGTCATACTAAGGTTTGGCCTTTTCAGTTGAACGCGTGAAAATGAGGTCTTACGATAGTATTATGTTACCTTAAACCTTAAATATTTGCCTCGCCTATTCAAAGTAGTCTTATTCCCATTGTAATGAGACCTTAATAGGGGGTATTGAGATGGTATTGAAAATATAGCTGAGAAAAGGAACAAAGGACAGAGGGTATTTACAAGGATAACAACCGGATAAAATCAACACGGTTTACAACATCAAATTTTTATTCACAACATAAAACAATACATTCATACAGTATAAAATTCATATTTATAAAATCAAAAGGTCACTAGGCGATACTAGTTTAAAACCTTCAATAGGGATAAAGATTTTTGAACAATTGGTAGTTCCAATAATCTTATATGGATCCGAAATATGGGGCATGTCGAATTACTTTTCTACAAAAGATTGGAATGAATGGTTTACAAATGGCAGACGATTTCCATCTGAGAAACTTCTGTTATCTTTTTGTAAATATATTCTTAAAGTACACTGTTGCTCATAAATATGGAATATTAGTTTTGGCAGCTCATAATTCAAAGTTTGGAGTAAGAGAACATTTATTTTGAGTTGGCTCAGACATTTATTTTCTCGGCAAATCATAACCACATATTTCACCTACAAATCAAGATATTTAGAGAAAAATATTAACATTTAAGTTTAGAAAATTACTGTTACTTAAACAGGGGTACGCTAAGAATTTTTGAATTTTCAAAACACCCCGATCCAAATCGTCATGTAAAACAGATCAAACAAAATAAACATCTGGTCATGAAGATTGAAGTATCCTCTATCCAATGATAGCACTAATATGTGTTATGTCCTCTTTGTGCTACAATCTGAGCATCAACCCTACTGGACCAGCATTGAATGAAACATCTGACCTTTCAAAGTGAAATAAGGCCCCATTCCTCAATATTGGCAGTGCGTAACGTGTCTAAATTTTGAGGTGGGGGTCCAAGTCACGAATCTCATTTCCAAGGTCGTCCCACATATGCTCTGCATTAGCCTGGTTGGCGGACTTTTGTGCCCATGGTAGCTGGTCCACATTGCCATGCCCTGATGTAATTCAACACAATGCCACTAGCATATGCAACAGCATGATCATTCTGCAGTTGAATGTTGCCCCAAAACACTCTGTTTACATGTGGTACTTGATGGAGGTCCAAAAGGTCAATTTACTCTGAAATTATGTTTGGAAATCACAAGGGGGTGCAATTTCTGTAGTGCTGCTCCAAACAACCTCTGTAATACTGCTCCAAACATAAACAGGGTCGCCTTCATGGACTGCCACATCAGTAAGTGTCCTTATTGTCTCTTTCCCCTGGTCTACGACAGAAACGAAAACAATTATAAACTTTGTGGAGGACACATCTTATTTCTTCACATGCTGTCATATGACCCCAAAGATTAGGTCCAACGTTTTGGTGCTTTCCTGGCAATTGAAGGCACCTTTCTTTGTTATGATCAGTAAGCTGTGGTCTCTTGAAAGGTCTCATGGCCCTGCATCCGTTATAAAGAAATCACTGGTTGTCTATAGCTCTGGAACACGGGTTTTGAGGTGAGACAGCCATTCATCTCGTAGACTACTGGTTGTCTTAAAGCGATTTTGATGACCTAAATGCAGCAGGTGGTGGTCTTTTCTTACATTTTTCTCTCTAGGGCTACTATTGCTGTGGCCTGGAGTCATATTCCAGTGCCTTTGGTACCACTCCAAATTTTAGAGACTGTTCCTGACACACCCCTAGGGTCCTGGCAATGGCAGTTTGTTTCATGCGAGAGAGCGCCATTCCTATGACCTGTCATGCTCTTTTCGCTTATTCTATGGGGCATGCCTTCCAAAAACTCTTCCAACTCTAAATTAAATTTTTATAAAATGTGCACAATGATTACAACTAAGATTTGGAACTCTTTCAAGTTACCAATATCATGAGGTCATTGGGTCACCTGAGTGAATACAAGTTTAATCAACCATAAATGTTTTACAAAACTGATGAGGGAATTGAGAACACATTACAAATTTTCATCAAAATGTTATCATTTTGTAGAAATTCCATCGAACAGTTCGTATCTGTAAAATATTCCATATTTATGAGCAACAGTGTAAATAAAAAATCAACAAATTCAGCAATTTATGGAGAGCTTGGGAAATACCCACTATATAAATATATTTAAACAAGTTACTAATTTCTATAGTCACATGTTAAATATGTCATACATCTTATTATCAGAAGCACTACATCTAATGACCTATCAAAGAACAACAAGTCATCGTGGATGCTGAATTTTAAAAGTGTAATGGATAAATTAGAGGTAGTATCGTTTTCAGGAGATACTCCCAGCAACATCAATAATACTTGATGTAAAACAATATACTATTGACGCATCCGAAGTTGTTTGTAAATCAAAAATTGGTTTTGAAGATTAATTAGGAAATCATTGAATTCCGACCAATGTCGCAAACCGAATACGTACAAAATATTTAAAAGCAATTTCAGGTTCGAACCATATTTAGATTCAATTTATGCATACCAGCGTATGCATAATGCATTTGTCACGAAAATCTCCGCCAGGTTTGTTTATTGTGGTTAGGTTTTAATGGTAAGTGCTCAGAAGCAAATAATTCATGTGCGCAAAATAATCAAAGAATCTGATTGGTTTAAACTACCGCGCATGTGAACGATGTGTGCCATGTTATTTTCTAGTGATTTCGTTTCGTTCCATGGAGTTTGTGTTTCAGTGTAACTTCCGCAAAAATGGCGGACTAGTGACAGAATTAACAGGTAAAATCACTTCGAAATTTAAGAGAACTTTTTACCTATAATAGCAAAACTTTTGTTTTATTTGTGCATTCCATCTATCAGATAAGAGTGTCAGGGGTATATAGGCTAATCCATTTTGGTAGGAGCACTCTGTTTAGTTTGAAAACCCACCCTTTATTATTTACTGTCAGCACTGTACATCTAACATTATCAAGTATTTGATCTCAAACAACTATACTAGCGATAAAGACAAAGGCGTACCTCGTTGTACTATACCTAATGTACTTCCGTATATCAACTCTAGTATCAAATATTCAAGACTCAACAAAGCATGGTCCAAAATCCAAACATCCAACAAGAAGCCACATTCACATAGTCTTCATCGTATCCGGCCCTCTGGTCAACTGACGAAATCAACCTTGTACAACTCACACATAAAAGTCAACTCTACCAAAACCAGTTTAACCAATAAGAACTCTTTATTTCAAATATCGTCATATGACTAATAAAAGTGTACACGTTTTCAGCGACAGATAACGATCTTAATTATATACCTTGCTCCGATAACAGGTTTCTTTGCACGACGTTAGAAATTAAAAACATGAAAAAGCCTTATCAAGCAACCGTCAGGCGTCTCAAAGCTCACCTCGTTTCAAAATGGAGGCCATTATTTTTGTTACCGAAAAATCATACTTTTTGTCATAACTCCAAAATATTCCACCTGTCCTATTCACATTATATTATATACTATCAAATTGTGATCGTGAACGAGATAGTGGATGCCAGTTTAAGGGTAAATATATTATAGTGAAGGGGTTCACCTTGTAATGGGGGGAGGCTGTAATCGGGAATGAATAAGAATGAATATGGACACTGGCATGTAGCGGCCCTGATATCGATAAATTCTACACGCAATAAAACCAGATACTACGTGAATGATTTAAACTTTAAACGTTAGAGCTTCGATATCCGGGCACTTACTCTTACACTGAACTGAAAATTGAATCGACTGCACGTGTATGTGTTGGCTTCCGTGTACGTTTATCAACATTTATACTCAACTGAAAGAGCAGTCATATATCAAGTTTATATCAAGTAATAGTTGGATTTAATTTCGTGTGGGTGCATTTGTAACACGATATGTTGCTGATAGAGTGTCGTTAGAAGAACCGTTAAATCTCAAGATAAGAGCCTGATTTTAAATTATGGGACTGATCACTTTCCTGATATTACAGTGTTCATTCGCCTTTGTTCTGGCCTTACACGTCGTACATTTGCATTAGACGGCCTTGCTCAATCAGCTTCTATACGTCCGTTGCAGGCAAACAGCAAACAGTACAATATGGATGAACAAATTTAAATGATAGTCTACATATGATAACGAAACATCAGTGACAATGGATATTTTCAATACTTGAATCGGGACTTGAATTTAAATACCAGTAGCTTCACAATGAATTTAAGCAGTCCTCGAGTGTGCCATTCCATTAAATGAACTAATCTTGTTGAATATATTACACACTGAATATTCTCCGTGACTACATGTACACAGTTTATATATGTTTTGAGTTGTAAGTGCATAAAACTAGGATTTGAAACACGTTTGTGTATAATACAACCCTGAACTTCATTCATGAAACATCAATGAATATAATTTATGTCCCCGGGCTGATGTCCCTGCATTTGCGATAAACTGCGCCAAGATCCTGTAACTAGAATAAACAAGATCATTTTCTTCATCCCCAGGTCTTCATCATACAGTGTACTTCAACTTCAAATTCGAAAAAAATTATATTGATCTAATGATTTGCAAAGAGAGTTATGACTAACATGGGATAAAAAGCTTATTTATCGCATATATAACTAAGAGTTATGTACCAGGACGCTTTGGATATGTGGTTTATCCAGAAGGATATATGCATTTATCCTATACTTGGACATGTAACAGGTACATAAAGCCGGTTGGTAAAAACTTTTATCCCATACTTGGACGTGTTACGGGTACATAAAGCCGGTTTGTAAAAACTTATATTTTCATCAGCGGGCAGATATAGCTTTACGTCCCGCTCCGAGCGGGCAGATATACTATATCTGCCCGCTACGTCATAATCGCTGTTCCCGTATTGGTTCTTTTTTGTAACGTTCGCATACTGTAAACGACAATGGAGAAAAACGCAAACAATCTCGACCTGTTTGATGCTTTAAAGAAGGGAAGGAGCAGTGTACCGGCGTTAATAATCAAAGATTTGAATAGGAAAGAAACAGGAATACAAAACTGGACATGAATATTTTAAGAATATTCCACGGTTGGTTGCAACGTTTCTGAACTTTGGCAAATTGAACAATGTGATTGGTATGGGATAAACAGATCATCCTATAGTCGGTTCAGGATATTTGGATTATCCCTTGGCCAATATAATATATCTACCCTCGGGACCTACGGCCCTCGGGCAGATATATTATATTGGCCTCGGGATAATCCCAATATCCTGAACCTCATATAGGATAATCTCTATATCTACTTGATGGACCGTAGGGATCGAAGGTAGACATGCATATCTCACGAGGGATAAATCCCATATCCAAACCGACCGCACATATCTGCTTTATCATATACCAAGTAGTTTTCTATTAATATTTCTTTTTTGAATTTTTAAATCTTTTTATTTTTATTCTCTACTCAGTCTCTTCTTGTCATAGGATAATAAACGATATACGTATATATATAGTTTATCATGATATGTACTTCTTTCTGTAACTGGAATACGATTCTAATATACAAGCAACACATACGTATTCCTGGGGAACCATACATCTTTTGTGTAGGGTGTGGACATTTTTCTTTTCATTTCTCTAAAATCAGATTATTCTCATAAAATTCATACAAAGTTGGGCCTAGGCCCCTATTTTCGTATTCTGCATGTTAAGATACCTATGATGTATTGATAAATTCAATGTCTTCAGTTGAGAATAAGTATAAGGTAAATGTGTGAATTCTGCTTGTTGTTGCACTATTTTTATAATAAACAAGGTTCGATACGCAACACTGAATGGACTGCAGTCATAGCTTAGTTGTAAATAAAACAAAAGAAGTTGGGACGTGGTCATGCTTGAATATGTTTCTTTTATATATCACCGTTTGCATTCGGTGAAATCGGCCTGGATTAATTTCAAGAGGTGGTCGGTGTACAAGGTCATATGTTTGAGTTATTGGTTTAATGATAAATGTGACCCTTGAATGCGTTATGCTTTATGTATGCGTGAAACAAATTCTCCCATGGCCTAATCTCAATTTGCCTACAAACAATATAACATTGAAATGATGGTCATCTGCATATTAAATTCCGCACCACACGTCTAACTTCGACACATTTCAGTAAAGTATTCAGTTTCGCTATAATCGCTACATGCCAGTGATGGAAAGATCAAATTTGAACGTGTGAATTAATGACTGGGTGAATACGGATTGAAGGATTTCGGATGTGAGAAGAATTCATAATTTGACTCATCGTTATTTTAGATACTGATGAGGAATCGCTGATAAAGATTCTTTCTGGAATGAACAATGGCCAACGACAGCAAATCCAGCAAATATTTAAACAAACGCATGAAAAGGTAAACAAAAATAACATTCAGTCTTCGGTATTTTTGTCATTGACACTCATGAATCGTCCCAATCGAATTGTACATATACTGTACAGTGTACATCGATTGTGTATGTTGTCGATTATTTGGAATAACAAAATTGTCTTATTGTTCGGTTACAACAGGAATTGGTCGATGAGATAAAGGAACAATTGGGCGGTGCCTTTGATGAGATCGTCCTGGGGTTGCTGATGTCACCTCGTGAGTTCGATGCCCACTGCCTCCACCAGAGTATGGTCAAACTGGGAACTGATGAGGCTGTTATAAACGGTATTGTGGCTACCAGATCAACAGAAGAACTCCAGGAGATTATGAAAAAATATAAAGAGAGTATGTTTTAGACTAAGCTATTCACTCATCCATGTATTATTTAACATACTACAATCTACCTTCAAGTGAAGAACGCTATAACTTGAGGCTTGCATTTTCAAAAAATACATCCAATAGTCTGATAGTGGGGGGACTTTTGACCACTATGTATTTGGCAGAATATTACAAATGGTGATAGTATAAACCTGACTTTTCTGCTTCTTAAAACCTTTTAAAAAATCGTCCCTCAGACCGACAGATTTTTTCACTCCTCCCAAAAAATTATCAAAGTAGGCCGACAATAAGCTCGCTTCGTAAGATATTTGGATGTATGACATGCATCATTTTCTTCGGAAAGTATCATTTAAAGCCCATGGAAAGTGTACAGTGCATCGAAATCAAAATTGCCAGCGTAGTATCCCGGGCATAGTATTCAATAGAATGATTCCCGTTGACACCAACGCCTTATAGTTGAAATAAATCGATCAGACTTATTAACCCCCTATCACACCAAACTAGTTCTTACCCGTTCTTTCCAGTCCTACGAAAACGTCGTAAAACGGGCTCAATCTGGCTGTTGTCGGGAAATATGTCTAAAATAATTAGCTACTTCGTTTATAAACAGTCGTCAATACGTCCATCTCATTTGCAGTTCGTTCAGGTCGCACCACGTCGGTTTGCAACGTCGTATAACGCGTCCCGTACCCCCCTATCACACCAAACTAGTTCTTACCCGTTCTTGCCAGTCCTACGAAAACGTCGTAAAACGGGCTCAATCTGGCTGTGGTCGGGAAATATGTCTGAAATAATTAGCTTCTTCGTCCTTAAACAGTCTCCAATACGTCCATCTCGTTCGCAGTTCGTTCAGGTCGCACCACGTCGGTGTGCAACGTCGTAGAACGCGCCCCTTAGTCTAGAAGGTCAACATGACCTGTACAGAACGGCATGGTCGCCATCGAATTTTGAATCGATTCAAAATTCTAAAATCACATTCCCGTCTGAGAACGTTCATAAAGTTCGTAAATAGACATTAGAAAGTTGCAGCTACGTTCATTCCGTTCGCACACAGTTTCAAATCAGTTTTGAAGAACGCAGTGGCAACTTGTTTGGTGTGATAGCTGTATTTTTGCTAACTCGTTCATAAGCAGTGTTAAATACGTTCTTAATCAGTTTAAACCCGTTTGCAATTAGTTCTACCTCGTTCTCTACACGTCCTCAGACAGTTCAACTCGTTGTTAAAACGTCCCTAGTAGGATTGAAGTACGACGGTTCCGTTCGTAGTACGTCCCGCTCGTCGTTAGTACGTTGTCACTCGTTCTAAGTAGAACGTGACGACCACGAGAACATTTTGAGCATTGTCTAAGTTCTAGAGGACCTACCCGTTCGAGTACGTTCGATGAAGTTTGTAAATAGATCCCAAACGGTTCTTAGTAGGTCCAGTCCGTTCGTACACAGTTGAAGCCCGTTTTCGAAAACGTAGTGAGAACTAGTTTGGTATCACACCAAACTAGTTCTCACTACGTAGGGTTACCCTACTATCACACCAAACTGAAACCAAGTGAATAAACTTTGAAGCAACGGTTATGTCCGCCATTTGTGAATACGGTATCTGACTTTACAATTGTCAGGCTATTCCGGTGTGATCTTTGTAACCCTACTATCACACCAAACTAGTTCTCACTACGTTCTCGAAAACGGGCTTCAACTGTGTACGAACGGACTGGACCTACTAAGAACCGTTTGGGATCTATTTACAAACTTCATCGAACGTACTCGAACGGGTAGGTCCTCTAGAACTTAGACAATGCTCAAAATGTTTTCGTGGTCGTCACGTTCTACAATTAGAACGAGTGACAACGTACCAACGACGAGCTGGACGTACTACGATCGGAACCGTCCTACTAGGGACGTTTTAACAACGAGTTGAACTGTCCGAGGACGTGTTGAGAACGATGTAGAACTAATTGCAAACGGGTTTAAACTGATTAAGAACGTATTTAACACTGCTGATGAACGAGTTAGCAAAAATATAGCTATCACACCAAACAAGTTGCCACTGCGTTCTTCAAAACTGGTCTTAAACTGTGTGCGAACTGAATGAACGTAGCTGCAACTTTCTAACGTCTATTTACGAACTTTATGAACGTTCTCAGACGGGAATGTGATATTAGAATTTTGAATCGATTCAAAGTTCGATGGCGACCATACCGTTCTGTAATCAGGTCATGTTGACCTTCTAGACTAAGGGACGCGTTCTACTACGTTGCACACCGACGTGGTGCGACCTGAACGAACTGCGAACGAGATGGACGTATTGAAGACTGTTTAAGAACGAAGAAGCTAATTATTTCAGACATATTTCCCGACCACAGCCAGATTGAGCCCGTTTTAGGACGTTTTCGTAGGACTGGCAAGAACGGGTAAGAACTAGTTTGGTGTGATAGGGGGGTGAGAGCATAGGTTCAGTTATAGAAAGGTGTTTACCTTTATTTTAGTTTCATTTGAAAGATAAGAGATTGCCATTTTAGGAAGCGTTGTACTTTTGTCCAACAATAAATTAAAATCTTCATATTATAGTTTCAGGCAAAGTCAGCAGATATTTTTAAATACTTCTTAGTGTTGTATGCCATTTAAACTTTTGTTTGAACCTAGAAAATGAATTTTTTTCGATTTTATGCCAAATTGTCAAACTTGAAGGGTCATTTGGGAGAGGTAAAATTAAGTGGAAAATATTTAAAAAATCATATGACTATTTACCCTTATTTACCCTTTTTGGACCACCCTAACAGTACTTAACAAAAATTGCATAAAGGCCTTAGTTAAGCTTTAATGCATGTATTTACAGTACATATGCACAGTTCGGTTTGATAGAATCTTTTCCAAAAAGCATAAAAAGCCAATGAATATGCTGGTATCACCAATTAAAATAGTTTTGATCAAATGCCCCCCCCCCCTCCCACACTACGAGTGATGATTTGGTCACCATTATAATGGTTTGGAACACAAAACCAACACATAAAACAACACTCACTAAGCAGTTCAACCCGATTAGTCAATTGAGACAAACTATAGTACCAGTATGGTATTTTTAAACTATTGAAGTCTCAATTCAAAATCTAAATATAAAAAGTATGATCCTATTTTGCATTGAAGAGTACAGTCGACACTTAATGCATGACATCCAAGGTGATACAAGCGCAGATTACTTGGAGCTCCTGCGGATTATCGTCCAGGCTGAACGGGACCCAGGGAGTAGGGTAGACTGGGCAGAGGCAGCGGAGGACGCAAAGTGCATGTTTCTCTGTAGTATGACGGTAGGTACCCTCATAGCCCAGTCATATTCTTCTTTTACTTGCTAGCTATAACCTGTGTACTCGGCTTATCACTTTGGAGACAACTTAACGGTAAAGACAATTACAAAACACATAGAAATTGAATGGATAGAAAATCACAGAAGACACCGGTACCTGGGCCTTTTGGAAAACAAGTACGTTTCATCGATGATAAAATATGATAATCCGGCTTTATTATAATCATGGCCTTACCCAAAATAATACACTTACCTCCAATACAAACTACTTTACCATGATTGTGTGGTTTTCTCATTGAAACGGACTATAAATCGTATAAGTCATATTCTTACTGGTCCTCACCTAGTTACCCTGACGATACGTCAGTGTATCATGGCGGAACAACTACCAGAATTTGAATTCGGTCAGATATTTTTATCTCTCGATTTACATCTACGTATAAGTCAAGCTGTGGATAATAATTCGGCTCAAGGTTAAGGAAGATAGTCTAGTTTGAGAGTGTGCTGGTGGATTTATGTTTGGTTTGTTAACGAAGACGCAATTCACATATAATATTATTTAGTTCCTCGCTTTTGTTATGACGATCGGTATGAATATTGCCAATATTACACTGACGTAGAGCTTTGATTACACTGACGAATGAATACTATTATAGAGAAAGTTGATCTGTGGAATGTCATGGACATATGTAGCCATACTAGGCCCGGTAACATGTATAAAAATCGAGTCGAATACATCAAGTAAAGAGATTCGTTATCTCAGCTTCAGCTGATGGGGTTACCTTAATAGGTATTTTCTACCATTTGGAATGAACGTGAGGGTCATATTTGAGAGTTTATTCCAGGTTCTAATGAAGTAACGTGAAAAGTAAGTAAACGGCCTAAAAGTTTATTTTCTATACTCCAAGTAAAAATTCAATCCAAGTACAATATTTTACATATTTCCCTACGTTGTGTCGTGATCGTTGATAAAAACTGTTCTAAGGATGATTTTCTGAGATGATACTAAAGAATAGTCTCAACGTATGGAAAGTTCCACAGGGAAGGTTCCAAAAAGGAGGTGAATAATAATTTCCCATAATTACCAAATAAATGAACCAATAATGAACAAATTAAAGATAATATCAAATTAAATCTACTGGACTTCCTACAACTCCTCTAAAAGGAGGTAAATGTTGGTTACCATAAGGAACCAACATTTGAACCAATAGAAAGGCAAGTAGATTAAGTCATAAAGTAGAATATACTGGACTTAAAAATCCTCCTTTTTGGGAATTGGAACTTTCCTGATAGAAAAGACATAACAATATGAAAAGAGCCAAGATTTTATTGTTATTTATGAATGATATCACGCACGAGTGCAAGTGAACTAAAGAAGAACAAAGAATAGAAATGATAACAACAAATGTATAGAACAATAACATATATCCTGAAACGTAAATCAATGTGATATAAAAATGAAGTTTGTTTAATGTATACGAAAACCTAAATCCTGTTTCATTATCCCCAACTTAATTAAAAGTGTTTGTCCTCTATTAGTATGAATTTTTTCAGGATGATAAATCACATTCTTGAAATACAGTACTTCATGTCCCATATTTGACCCTTAGAAACACACCCGGTGATCGTGAATATGGGACGGAGGGGGGGGGGAGCAGGCAATTTCTGCTAGGCAATTCAACAAATCTGGAAGATTTATTTTTTCAAGAAAAAGTTTACTATTGAATTGCTAAATGGATAGGCGCACGGTATGGTAGAATATGTAAGGTTTTCTGGGATTTTTTCTGCATCTAAGGTATGAGATCTATTAAAAAAGGCGCAAGGCCATCAACAGGCACAAATCAACGTTTTTGCTATAAATCAAGCAACAATGGACTACACGACCTGTAATAAATACTTGTAAGTGATGTTATCATAACTAAATTAATGTCATTGCTGAATTTATAAAATAAGTTTCCATATGTGAAATAAAAAATAATCGAAAATATTGAATTTGGGACGGGGGGGGGGGAGGGGACGGAGGGTGGGAGCAATATGTATATAAGACATGATTAGAGATGTTTCGCGACTTTAAGTCCTTTTACTCCAAATGTCCCCATTTTTTCAGTTTCCAGGGGTATATCATCCAGTTTCTTACTAAGTTAATGAGTTCATTTTTCAAATACAAGAATTCGTGTGAAGTTGTTTCACTTTATAGAATTATTACTCCCCCCCTCCGTCCCCTCCCCCCCCTCCGTCCCATTTTAATTATTTTCGATTATTTTTTATTTTACGTATGGAAACATATTTTATAAATTCAGCAAAGACATTAATTTAGTTATGATAACATCACTTACAAGTATTTATTACAGGTCGTGTAGTCCATTGTTGCTTGATTTATAGCAAAAACTTTGACTTTTGCACGTTGGTTGCGTTGCGCCTTTTTTAATAGATCTTATATCTTAAAAGAGTATCGGTTGAAAAATAATCCTAGAATACCTAACAATTTTTATCATACCGTGCGCTTATTCAATTTGCAATTCAATCGTAAACTCTGTCTTGAACAAATAATTTTACCAGATTTGTTGAATTTTCTAGCGGAAATTGCCTGCTCCCCCCCTCCGTCCCATTTTCACGATCACCGGGCGTGAGAAAGATGAATTCACACTAGGTAATTGGGTCAAAATGTATTTTCTTTCCTAAACACCACTTCTAAAAGATGTTTTTCTCAATTTCAAGGCTCAAAGCAATCACCAAATGAAGTCATTTAAAGAAATAAACTGGTACTTTAAAACTATTTTTATTTATTTTGTTATAATGTACCCCCTCCCCGCCTGATAGGGGTGGGGGTCAGAGGCTTAAAATCCATGAAGACCACCCCGAATCACTTGCCCCGAAATCATTTTTCATTCAGATCATATGTTTCTACAACTGTGCCAAGTTTGTTGCTTTCCTGAAAAAGATAAACTATCAAAGGGAAATCTGACTGCGCTACTAAGACAAGGACTTACCTAAGTTGATTTTTGTATTTAACTGATCCAAAAACATCCAATTTGTTTATTCAGTAGAAGTATGCAACCAAGTCCAAGGTGAATGTTGGTGTATTTGAAATTAATCGTCCCAATTTTATTCAGTAGAGAAACCGTCAAGAAATGGCGACATATTATTTTTAATTAGTGATCAATGGTCAATCGGTGTTTATTTCTCAAAGCATCAAAAGCTTTTTAGATTTGTTTAACTGACATGTACAGGTAACATGAGGATTAAAATGCTTCTGATTAAGTTTTTGAAAGTAATTATCTAACGTATGTCAATGACATTTGGCTGACACTTGAAGACAGATATAAGCGAGGGAAATGCTAAAGGATTAAATGTTTTGATTGCGTTTTTGAGAGGAATTATGTGACACGTTAGTTTGTTTGTTTAATCTTTATTTCCTAGGCCTCCTGCTGATTGGTTAATTACAAGGGATTTATTTTTAGCGCCGAAACTATCATGCCAGTCTCATAGCTTGACTTGATTCTTATCACGACGGCTTCAATTCACAATTGTAAATTGATTTTAAGATGATATCTTTCCGGCATTTAATTTTCCGACACTGAGCATAAATCGGAAATCGGAAAATTAAATGTCTGGGCAAATTAACCACTTATACAGTTTAACTACAACTATAACTTTAACTATAAATTCATGGTTGTTACCTAATATAATGTACAATGTTAAAATGGTTCGTCAGGACTTACCTAACATTGGTCGTTCGTCAGTGTAACAAAAGCGAGGAACTAAACATATGAATTGCGTCTTCATTAACATACCAAACCTAAAACCATCAACGCATTCTCAAACTAGACTATCTTCCTTAACTCCGGGCCTTGCTTTACAGTCAATATGGTACAACGAAAATGGGACTTCTGCGCATGTTAAATTTTTCGTTGATACGATTGTCTCTCGATCTTGAGACTTACCTCATTCGAAAGATCATAAAAGACTTTATCTATACAAAAAATCTTAGATCCCAGCATAGTAGAATACGCCGTCAGTCCGCATCTGATTTTTTGAAGTGAGTTTCGTACATCGTCAGATTTCTCCGACTAATATCGGGCTATCTCAAATTGGTTCGTTTATAAATACGCAAAATATAAAATTGCATGCGCAAAATTGATTTACAAACGTTATTGGTTGATGGTTTTCTCCTGAGCATGCGTCAAGTCTGATGAACACTTATGACGAAGAACGGAGCAAACATTACTAGCTCAGATTCAGATCATTTCGCCGTATTTGCTCAGCGTGTATACTTGAATGACACGCTGTTTTGAGTAGATCAGGTACCTGTTTTTGACACAACATTGATTCAGCTTGACATTGATGTGCACATTGGCACTTTTGAGCGTGTTAATACAAGTTTTTACACTCTTAGCAGGAGACGGGTTTTCGAAAAATCTGTTATCTAATTCACTCGATTATCAATGGATATGTATTTCTGCTGACATTTTAACACAACATCACATATAATTACGATGCAAAATGATAATAAAACACAAAACAACTACTGAATTCCACTTGTTATTTCACAAGAGGTAAAACTGCACACTGCCTAGATTCTTTGTAAGGGTTGTCAGACATTGGATTGGCCGCCATATTTGAAATGAAAATATCACTAAATAGAGCTTTGCGCATATCACAACATATCGACTGTTTAGTACGTGTAAATCGAGAAATCAAAATTTCTCACCGAAACCAAATCCCGGAAGTTGTTTCGCCATGATACACTGACGTATCGTCTGGGTAACTAGGTGAGGCCCAGTGATTCTGTAAGTCTATTGAGATAATGCATTTCACAGCTCTAAATGGCGTTCAGTGTAAAACTTTAGAAAACCACCAATCTTTATATTGAGTATACAATCACTGGGGCTGTGAGGTATCGTGATGCAAAAACACGGTGATAGGTTTTCGAAAGATAATTTGTTTTAACAATTTAACCCATTTCGTGGACGGGTTCCTCAATAATCGTATACATGTGGTTAGCTCACGATCTAAAATTTTAAAATCTAGCATCATCTAGAAGCGATGAATTCACCTTTTTAGTTCTTCACTTTTGATGCAAAAACACCACTCTGTTTATTATCAATGATGCAAAAACACCAGTGCGCTGATGGAAAAACGCCAATTTATAATGTATTATTGAATTACATTAGAAACATATATATTCATGTTTTACATGTGTTAGTGGTGCATGAATGAGACGCATACAGATATAACGTTTACGTGAATCACAACGGCAAAAAGAGTGGTTAAGCAGTACAGGTATACCGGAGTTTCTCGCGAATAGGCCCATGGGCGTTTATTTGAAAAAGGGATGTTTGCCCCAGAGGGCGAAAACATTCGACGGGCATAGTGGAACTCGATGGGACTTCATGGGGCAAAGTTAACCAAAGTGGTGCGATTTGTTGGCAGTTTGCAGTAATGAAATATTTGTTCCTCTCGGGTGGTGCATGAATGAGACGCATACAGATATAACGTTTACGTGAATCACAACGGCAAAAAGAGTGGTTAAGCAGTACAGGTATACCGGAGTTTCTCGCGAATAGGCCCATGGGCGTTTATTTGAAAAAGGGATGTTTGCCCCAGAGGGCGAAAACATTCGACGGGCATAGTGGAACTCGATGGGACTTCATGGGGCAAAGTTAACCAAAGTGGTGCGATTTGTTGGCAGTTTGCAGTAATGAAATATTTGTTCCTCTCGGGATTTCTGGTCCTCTTAAATTATACGATTAATGAATTTATAGTCTATGAAAGTCCATGATGGTTTACATTATGTCATAAATTAGTGCTTTTGCATCATTGGACAAAATAAATGAAATATAGAATGGTGTTTTTTCATCTTCGGCGTGGTGTATTTGCTTCAAAAGTGAGGAACTTAATTCGTTAGTCAAGGTGTAAGAAGGTGTTTAGTCTAGTAGAGGGGGGGGGGGGGTCACAGAGTCTTGGAGCTAAACTATAAATTCGTGAATTTGTCGCTTCTCAATGATGCTAAATGAATACTAAGGTCATTTTTAAAACTGTAGATCGTACTGCACGTATTCGATGATTGAGGAACTCGTCCCAGAAATGGGCTTAAATTGGAAAACAAAATATCTTTCGAAAATCTGTCACCGGAAGGCTGGCCATCTTGATGCAAAAACACCGTGTTTTTGCATCACGATACCCCCCCCCCCCCCAGTGACATTGAATCACAGCTAAAAGGCAAGTGAATCTTCTGATAGATAGCCGAGCGTTTAACGTTCATAGTGTTGGCCAACGTTCTTATTCAGGACAGTGACGGTGGCTTGACTCCAAGCGATGAGCGTTTCCGTCATGTGCTCAGCAAGAAGAACAGGCAGCAGATCAGAGCAACAATTGAGGAGTATGAACGTCTGATCAACAATGATATTGAGACGTGTATAAGAAGCGCCATGCTGACTGGAGATGGGGAAGACGCTCTTGTTGCATTAGGTGAACAATCCTAATTAAAAGGGTTCGGTCTCTATTTCTGATCCTAAAACACCATATCGACTCAAAACATTTCAGATGCTGGCACACTTTTGCCGGAAGGTTGCAAGTAACTTTTGGCAATGCAGTATGTTAGAGTAACCTAGTAGGTGTAAGAAAATATAAGATGATGGGCTTTAAAGTGGTAAAAACAATTTTCACGGCCGAATTGGACTTCAATTCCTGCGATTTCAGGGGGTACTATAAAACTATTTCATAACATAAAGGGTATAGTTGCTATTGTTCTGCTTTCTCTACAGCACACATTACTAGTCCAAAGATGAATAATATCCTAAGGTTATAGGCCGATATCTGTATTAATCTCAGAAGTATTGCAATTAATAGGGAAAAATATGCAATTTTAGTCATTTTTAAGTCTCACCTATTTTATATTGTAACTTCCAGCAAACGATGGCAGCTTAAATAGCTCAAAATTGTTTTCTAAAAACTAATTGTTTTGATTGTTTAGATTTTATTTCTACCCACACCTGTGAGTATAAATACATATACAATATACATGTAATACAAAATTGATAAAATTGATACAGTATCTAATGGCAGTTATTTAGTTTAATCCTTTCAAAATGCTTTGTAAAAATTTACTTAGTTGAATTGTATACCTAGTATAAAATAATATTCATCACCTAATTTGTTACAATGTGTACATATTCTTGAATGTCTTGCTATATTATACCTTCCAGTTTCTATTGGTAAATTATGATTTGACATCCTAAATTTGAAAAACTTTAGTTTATCGACCTGACACCGTTAAAACCCAGATCAAAATCTTTGTGACTTTCGAAAGGGAAAAAGGTATGCCTCCTCGAACAATAAAACTAAATTTTCGAATCGGTTGTATGACAACTTACAACATTAACTAAAACTGTGTATAAACGCTTCGGTTGCTACTCGCAGAATAACACGATCCCATCGTGCATCCACTCACATAACCTACTCATGATCACATCATGTTAACCAATTAGCTGAAATCGCGTTCGATTTCACTAACGCTAAGACGTTATATCAACCGGAAATAAAATAATTCAACTCTAATTTCAAACGTGTTGAATTTTAATTAATCGTAGTAAAATTGCGACCCTTGAAATTACTGTACTCACAAAAACATTCCGAAGGTTTTTAAAATAAATGATTTGTAATGGTATATGCATGAGTGAATAAACGCATAAAAATGTAACACTCTATTCAATGTGTATGACAGACATACACGATTAATGTCAATATAAGAACGACTAGATCAACCCACCCACCCAGCCATTCAAATGTGTGCCATTGTTTTATATACAGTAAGCTTAATCGTTCCATTTATGATTTTAGTAATTATAATTCCTTACCTCATTATTTTTAAAACCTTTATGTCACTTAATAAGTAATCATTATTAAGATTTATCCAACAAATCAGCACGCAAAATCCAAAGATGACCGTGCGATGCCACCGGGCGCCGTAAGATAATCGTACGATGATCGGGCGGGACACGGCCGGGTAGGTACCGATGAGTTTGGTTGAGAAAAAATCGCCAAGACATCGGCAACTTTTATCTCCGCGATAAAACTCTGCCGGCGCCCGTACGATGTCTAAAAATCGGCCGATGAGTGGCGATCATCGCCCGGCGCCCGCACGATGCCCGGGCTCGCCGGCCAATTTTGAACAAAATACTCATCGGCCGGGCGCCGCAGTGAAAATCGGAGCCTATGTGACCAAGGCATAACTCACCGTATATCATAAATGATGGTGTTGCTCGTTTAACTCTCAAGATATATTTACAATATTTTAAATGAAGTTTTTCACACATGAGCATTGCTTTGGCAAGCCCATCTCTGTACATCTGCCTAAGACACCATACATAGCATTTTCTGCATTTCGTAATAATGAATTAACATTTTTTGCGAAAATTCCCATTATAAGAGAACCAGACTCCCAAAAACTTGAACGAGTCTTCAATTTTGAGTTGTTCTCGTTCATACAAAAATCTAAATGTTTCTTTGTTTTTTTCTTAGAAAATATTACAACATTTGTCTTTTTAGCATTAACGACAAGTTTATTTTGCTTGCAATATGATTTTAATGCATCAAGACCACTTTGTAAACCTTGCTTTGTTTCTGATAAGATAACAGTGTCATCAGCATACATGAGGATAAACATTTTAAAAAGGCAATCAATACATTCAGGCAATTTCATATATTTACAACCTTGGTTATTTACAATAAAGTCTTCCATATCATTTACAAATAATGAGAATAATAATGGAGATAAAATTTCGCCAGTTCTCAAACCATTCATACATAGAAAATATTCAGATGTTTCTTCATTAACAGAAATGCATGATTTTGCATTAGAATATATATCTTTGATACAATTCAATATTTTACCAGTTATTCCATAATTCAGTGATATTTGGTGTGACTCATTAAAATTCTGCTGATTATCTATTGAACCCAATTCTTTATTATTAAAAGATTTGAAGAAATGTAATAAGCTGTCCATTGATGCTTTGCAATTGTTTTTCTTAGGTTCCTTGATAATCGCCCAATAGTCATTGCTATTGTTAATACTTTTCAATGTTTTTAGTTCTTTTATTTTTCTTCTTTTAAATAAAGTCTGTGCTTTACGTATTTCTTTCTTGTATCCTGTCCTTGTTTTTAGTAAATTGTCTTTCGTATTATCTGATTTTGTTGAATAAAACTTCCTCTTGGCCTTTTGATAGTCTCTTCTTTTGTCTCTACATTCTGGTGTATACCATTGTTTTTAGGTAATCTTGAAGTTAATTGTCTTATTTTCCTTGTAATTATTCCAAATGTTGATGTTGCTGCTTCCTCAAAAAGTTTACCTATTTCAGTTGTGGCATCCTCTATTGACAGCTCGTCACTTGATATTCTGCTAGTTATAGATGTTACTGTAGATGCTTGCTGCTGCTTGGGCCCTTGGTACACTCCATTCTCGAATTCAAGCTTTGTTTGATATTGTTATACAATTATAATAATGATAATGTACTATTTATGATTTTTAATATGACTTTATAGTACCCTTCCCCTGGAAAGTGGGCATGGTCAGTGTTATCATTTTGCAGCATACAGTTAAAAACTTGTATTGATAGCAAGCAAATCAGTGCATTTAAAACATCTTCACTTGTTACTTGACAATGTAATTCATTTATTACTAAAATATATGACTCTACATATTTTATATATACGTTTTCAATTTTGTACAATGTATCATAATGAAATCTAATAGGCTGTTTCATTTTCAGTTTTCACTAACACATGAAATGTAAGTCACAGTGTTTCCAAATTACCTTGGCAATGAGAAAGTACCACAAAGACTACATAATATGAGCAGATTCAAGGTCTTAATACTAATACTTACCGATCTATCGGCGTTCAAAAATAGAGAAAGCTGTCGTGAGTGCAGTTTTAACTAATTTTGAACTGAAACTGCTACTTAAGAATATTTTTCTCAACATCTGTGACTTTTTTACCCCAAACATAAGATACCAAGACATACAAGACATAATGCTACCAAGTTCCGATATTGGAAGTTTCAGAGCTCTAGATCAAATATTCACTTCTGCATGTACTTTTAAAACGACCCAAAAGGACAAAAAATCTGTCAGATATTGCGAAAAATATGAAAGATGCACTATTCAGAACAATTTATCTCTTAAATGTTACTTTTATTTGACATAATTTCTGATTCTGCCTCCAGTTAGTACCACCAATAATACGTATGAGGAGACTTAAGGTCATAGTAAGTGGAGTTACAGATCTATTGGCTTCTGAAAATGGGAAAAGCTGTAGCAAGTATGATTTTCACCAGTTTTTCATCCAAGACTGCAACTTTCTGGATTTTCTTTTCACAAACTGCACCGTAAGACCAAAGACATTAAAGGAAACCTGGTCATTGTACCACCAATAATAAGTAAAAATAATATTGGTAATATATACCAAGTATTTACTTTAATTCCAAGGCATCTGAATTGCTAAAAATATTTAATCAGTACTTTATTGTATCTTTGGACAAAATACACTGTTTGAATGCTTAGCTTGACATCACAGTATCAAGTGAAAGATGCTTTGTTATATACAGCTATATACGTATCACTTTAATTGACTTTACTCTTCAGTTTGAAATATGCCTGGCCATCCTAAGAAAAAAGCGACGGAGGGCAAATAGGGTGCATGGTATAATTGGTATTAAGCTCTTATAGAGTTTAAAGCTCCCACAATTTTTGGAAACAAAATGGAGAATAACATGTGAAAGTATAGGATGGACTAATTGTTCTTGGAAAGTTTTGGAAAGTAACATTGCATAAAATATTTAAGCAAGAGATATGTTCCAAAATACTTTCAGGTAAAAATAAAGCTTCGTAATGTAAAAACAATGTATTCTCAGTATTCAATAACAAAACATTCTTTATAGGTGTTTTGGTCTTAAGCATATCAGTGATTATATCAATTCGGATGGTGAAGTCACTTAATAAATAATAACTAGATGTAACTCCTAGTAAGTACTACACGTTTCAGTTCTAAATAAAATACAGTTTAGTTAAAAAAAATTGCATATTTTTAGGTGTCAATGGTTGAATGATTATTTGATATAATTTCCTGAAACTACTCTCATATATATTTGGTGGTACAGTGATATGGAATCCTGTCTTTGGGGGTCTCACGGAATTCTTGTTTTAGAGAAGAAAATCCTGAAAGCTGCAGTTTAAATATTATGAATTATAGGTGAAAATTGCACTCGCTACAGCTTCTCCCATTTTTAGATGCTAATAAATCTGTAACTACACTTACTATGACCATAAGTCTACTCATATGTATTATTGGTATTACTAACCAGAGGCAGAATCAGAAATTATGGTAAATAAAAGTAAAATTTAAGAGATAAATTGTTCTGCATTTTTGTCTTTTGGGTCTTTTTAAGAGTCCATGCAGGTATGAATACTTGATCTATGACTCTGAAATTTTCAATATCAGAATTTGGTAGCACTATGTCTTGATATCCTGTGTTTGGAGTCTAACCAAATCACAGATGTTGAGAAAAAAATTCATAAGTAGCAGTTTTAATTCAAAATTAGTTGAAACGGCACTCGGGACAACTTTCCTCATTTTTGAACGCCGATAGATCGGCAAGTATTTACACTATGATCTTGAATCTGCGCATATGTATTCTTAATGGCACTATCTCATTGCCCGGGTATTGTGGAAACATTGTGACTTATATTTCATGTGATAGTAAGCACTGAAAATGGACTTGTTGCATGTGGCAGACCCCATACAAAACAAACATCGGGGTAGAGGGGGGGGGGGTTAAACGTTGATCAGTTGAGCTATTTTTTGTGGCTATTGGTCATATAGTAGATCATTTTGTCAAAAGGTAAGGGTGATCCGAGAAAAAGTTGGTAAATTGAAACAGCCTATTAGATTTCATTATAAAACATTGTACTAAATTGAAAACGTATATATAAAAATGTAGAGTCCTATATTCTAGTTATAAATGAATTACATTGTCAAGTAACAATTGAAGATGTTTTAAATGCATTGATTCGCTTTCTATCGTATATTCGCATATTTTTTCCTATTAATTGAAATATTTCTGAGACTAATTCAGATATCGGCCTATAACTTTAGGACATTATTCATCTCTGGACTAGTAATGTGTGCAGTAGAAAGCAGAACAATAGTAAATATATCCTTTATGTTATGAAATAATCTTATAGTATCCCCTGAAATCGTAGGAATTGAAGTCCAATTCGGCCGTGAAAATTGTTTTTACCACTTAAAGCCCATCACCAAGATATTTTCTTACACCTACTAGGTTACTCTAACATATTGTATTGCCAAAAGTTACTTCTTTCAACCTTACGGCAAAAGTGTGCCAGCAACTGATAAAATTGAAATTGTGATTATACACTATGAAAATGGAATTCAGATAATCGGGATCTCTCGCAATCGTGCCATTACACGATCCGACTAAATAGTATGATATGTTTATTCCACAGTCCAAGCGATAGAAGACCCAGTTGCATTCTTCTCAGATAGATTACAAAACGCGATGTCCGGGTTCGGGACGGATGACAACACTCTTATTAGAATCATCGTTTCTAGATCGGAGGTATTAAATGCTATTTGAGCCTGGCCATAGGAAAACCGGTCTTATCACAAAAAAGTTGTGCTACAGAGCCAAAAATGTGCCCACGATTAAGAGGAAAATGAGCTAAATTAGGATCCGACTTTTTGGTCTATATATGCAAGGAAAAATTGTAAAGACATAAGCCATGGCTCATTTGAAAGGGTTCTTTTTAAGGTAAACAAAAAATCAGAATATCGAAAAAATCTGTGATAAGACCCCTTTTCCTGTTGCCTGGCTCATTTAATGTTTCACTTATTCTTTAAAAAGAATGAGACGATGTCCCCGTTTCTAATGATGATGCCACTCCTTTGACGGGGTTTCGTGATATTTCCATTATTAACTATACTAATTTCTAATTACCAATTCGTATAGAGAACACGTTAGTATTTTGGCCAAATGGCTTATCTTGTCAACAATATACACCTGGTTTTTATTGTCTATATTCTTTTAAAAAACGTTTCCCCACAGCCAGGGGTGACATCTATTCTCAATACTTGATATATCTTTGCATGATATATACGAGAGGACGTACAACAATCCAATATCTGAAGTGTCAATTTCACGAAAAGGCTTTAATTATTTTATGTTCTTTTATGATCAAATAATGAGTGATAGTACCGACTCTCTACTCCAAGCGTTAACTGCTTTATTTTCAGATTGATTTGACTCAGATCAAGTCAAAATACGAAAAGGATTTCAAAAGAACCTTAGAGGAAGACATCCAATCAGAAACAAGAGGGGACTTTAAGAAAATGCTACTAGCTATTGTCAAGGGAAATTGATCAATCTACGACACGCATTGGTCAATATCACTGGTGATCCACTCGATTACGCTGGTTACCGAAACTGTTCGTTTTGGTAACAAAATGTCGGAACGTCGAAGGTACGATTTTTCTCTTTTCTTTATTTCACACGTTCTAGGCAGAATTCCCAGGACGTTTTTAACACAAACGTGTATGAGTATCATATGTTTAAGAAAATGTACATATGTGCGAACAAATAGTTCAGAAGACAACAGAATCGTCGATTTAATTCTTCACTTAAGTTACATAAACGGTTTTTCGAAAAACAGTTAAGATCTGCACTTTTAACCCAAACCGTTTATGTAACTTAAGTGAGGAATTAAATCGACGATTCTGTTGTCTTCTGAGCTATTTTTTGCAAACATGAACATTTTCTAAAACATATGATACTGATATACGTTTGTGAGAAAAAATGTCGTAGGGATTCTGCCTACAACGCGTGAAATAAGGAAAAGTGAAAAATCGTACCTTCGACGTTCCGACATTTTGTTACCAAAACGAACCGTTTCGGTAACTAGCGTAATCGAGTGGATCACCAGTGAATATAGGACCCGGGATATAGGACACGGTTCTTTTAACAAGTTTGAAATATATTTTGAAGTCCCATGCTTGACATTTTGACAAGGTTTGTTTTTCTGACTCAGTGATTAAAATAGAAGGAAAACGTTCAATGATTTGTTTTGAAAACTATGATTGTTAATACGGAATAACAATTATTATATCTACGTCAAAAAATATATCTCAATTTCAAATGTACAGTAACAGTGCACATTGTTGGTCTTCTCCTAACTACTAATATGTCAATCAATAAAGCAGACATTCACACATTTATTAATCATAAAACTGTTTATTTAATTGATTTTCTTAAATTCAATACTAACTTATTTACAGCGAACACACTCGCACATCCACACAATCGTGCAATACGACAATACAGATAAATACAATGAACCTTTTGAATATGAGAGAAAAACACTCTTAGATAGCTTCTTCATTAAGCAACCAAACATGTTAAAAGGATAGGTATCGATATATATGGCGAACTGAATTATATATACAAGGTGTCCCGAAAGTATCCCCCCCTAGGCAGACATATACCAGTGTCGTCATAGTATGTGTCATATATCATTTTAAAGCGTATCCAAAGTTACATTGATTCACCAAGTATCATGGTTCAACTCTCAAATGTGAAAAAATTACAGGCATTTAAAAACTTAGTGTTTGGTCAAAATAAAGTTCAATTTTACACCAAATCACTAGTCAATGTGTCCTTCCGGGCCATCTTAACAGCAGCAATTCTTTTCGGGTAGGACGGATATTGAGTTGGAAAAAGAGAATGGTGAGGGTAGAAACTCTAAGGAAACTCTTCAAAAGTGCCTTAACAGGTTTTAAGAGGGTTATACAATTCCACACCCCTATTTGAAGGGCTTTTAAGGTCATATCTGAAAATAATTACTGCTGTTAACATGGCCAAGGGGGGACTCATTGACTGGTAATTTGGTGTAAAATGGAACTTTATTTTGACAAAACACTAGCTTTTAAAATGACTGTAACTTTTTCCCATTTGGGAGTTAAACCATGATACTTGGCAAATCAATGTAACTTTGGATAAGCTTTAAAATGATATATGACACATACTATGGGGACAGTGGAATATATCTGCCTAGGGGGGGGCCCATACTTTCGGGACACCCTGTATTATATTTATTATATAACTGAAATATATATGTTTTCCCCTTAAACCAATTATTGAAAACATTCTGTAAAAAAACACGATCCTTTATGTATTGTTGACTGATTGGCAACAATTTAATGCAAAAATTATTCATATATATTTTATATAACTGGTTTTGTTAACATTTTTTGTTTTAGTGCAATTGTTTTTTATTCCTTTCCACCAATTCTTGAGGATGAAATAAAATGTCTTTCTGAACCTTGTTGGAACAAAATAGCATATGCAACATTTTTATAGACCTCTCAATATTAGAGAGGTAGTGATATTATTGGTGGTAGTGAATTAACCCTAGAAACCCTAAGGTAAAAATAGTCACACGAACAACTAAGGGGGGGGGGGGGGGTCAAAAGGGCACCCCCTTTGTAAAAATGTTATTAGTAGAGCTAGGATGTTCAAACTTTCCCCACATATACTTCATTCAATTTAGACTAATTATCTACAACTTGGTGTAATAACTTTAACAACTACGATGATGTAAGATTGCGTGGATTTATTCTTAAGACAAAACGTATGGTAGAATGTGCTAGCTTTTTCTGATTTTGTCTATTGGTGCTAATGATTACATTATAATAAACTGATAACAAATTAGCAAAGCTAGGATGTTCAAACTTTCCATAAATATACTTCATTCAGTTATCTAGCTACAACTAGCTACAACTGTTATAACTTTAACAACTGTGATGGTGTAAGATTGCATAATTTTATTCTTAAGAAAACACGTATGGTAGAAATAGTACTAGCTTTTTATCGCACCCTAAGGTGCTATATTGTAATCAGTTTGCCGGGCGGTCGGGCGGGCGGGCGCCCCGAATAATCTTGTCTACAGGTTTCCAGTCAAACCGTTTGAGGGATTCACATCACTTCCTTTGAAAATGAGAATTTTTTATCAATTTCAGAAAAAGTCTCCAGAATGTATAAACCCAACTTGGCAGATTTTCATTTGTTTAATTGTGTCACTCTATACACTCAGGAGATTAATATTTTTACACTTAAATAGTCATATTTCAATAGCCATTGAATAGGGATGAATTATGTTTGTAATTGTGTTGACCTACTTATTCTTTGAGAGAGGAAAGTCATGATGAACTCTTGCTATGTTCATATAACGCCTGGTTCTTACCTAGAAAGTTATATGTAGTGAGGGAATAGTGTACTTCTAAGGTACCTCTTGAGGTATATAAAAATCTAGGTAAGGACCAGGCGTTGTGCAAAAATGGAACTTTTCTGCAATTTTCAGCATGAAATAAAATGCTTTCAGCCATTTTGAATGATTGTGACAATTGTGTTTTATATTTTCAAGTATATTTTCTTTATTCATGTGATCTTTTCATGAACAAATGTGTATATCTGCACTGGAGCATGACCTCTTGAGAAGCATATCCTTACCATGGCTCTAAGCAACATAATAACATGTAAATCCTTCCAATACATTCATAAAAATGTACAGGCAAAATTGAGGGGATTTTTGCACAATCATTTAATCCTCCCGGTCAGGTGTCAGTTTTGTCAATGAATAGTATTTTTTGTATTATCACAGTTGATTTGCTGATCATACCAATGTTCTTTATTGTACATTGTGCAGAAGAAATGTAAGTCACAATCAGTAGGCAGGAAAATAACATTTTCTAATAAAATGTACACTCTCTGAAGACTGCCCCATTTTGACTGAAGTCGATGTACGTCAATTCCCCTTTGGCATAAATCAAGTCAACCAAAAATTGATACACAGACAAGCATCTTCAAGTAGACAAGTAGATAAAAAGATTAATATACCGTAATGATTAATAAATATTTGTGAAAAAAATCCAGTCAAGGTTTGTGCCCTCCAAATTTCACGATATTTGGGTGGAGTACAACCCAGATACAGATAGTTATAGCATTGATGGAATCATTGGATGGTATTGCTTATGCCCAATTGGGAGTAGAGTTGTAGGTTCATGTGCACATGTTGCATATGTTCTTTGGTCCCCAAGCCTGTGGAAGGCACAAGGGGGATAAAAGCAAAAGGAAATGCCGAGTTTGACATTTTAAATAAAAAAGATATCCAACATGTGAATGTGCTCATTTACACAGTTATAGACACATAGTTATAGTATAGTACAATAGTTATGTAAAGTCCAGAGTAATTTTTGGGGAAATTGATATATTTTATGTGTTTTCAAATGTTGCCCCTTGTGCTTCCTCGCTGTGATGTAAAATAAAAAATTCAATTTTACTGCCATTTCAATGCAAACTGTTTATGAGCAATTGATCTCAATAAAGCAGATCAGTATATAACCGATTGATATGCATTTTTGATTTGTTATTACTTTATCTGTTTTTCAATTTTGCCCCTTGTTCTTTCTCACTGTGATGTAAATAAATAAACTCAATATTCTTTTCAGAATTATTTTTGCAAACTGTTTGTGGACAATCTCAATGAAATATAAGGAAGATCAATATTCAATAGTTTGACACGCACTTTTGATTTTGTTATATTTATGTGTTTTCCAATGTTGCCCTTTGTGCTTCCTCATGATGTAAGATAACACCAAGAAAAGCAATTAAAAAGTCATAAAAGACAGTAAATTATGATTATTTTGAAAATAAATAGTAACAGAGTGACAATGATGCTGTGAAAAGACTGCATTTTCCTTCAAAAGACCATTTTCTATATGTCAATAGAATGACCTATATTTTGAAATATAAAGGTCAGAATGACCTAATTTTAGGATTTGGTTATCAAACAAAGTTCTTCCTTTCATATCCTGTACAATTTATTCTAATATCTTGGGGGCTAATATAGGGTCTTAAAGACACTCGTCCTTTGAAGACATTACCAGATGCCAATAAAAAGTTATGGTGAAAAAACTTAACAGGGGGCCATTTCCTAAAGCATACAGATTTAATGCTTATAGTTTTATGTAGTACAAGATCTTCGTCGTCAAAAAGTATCATTTTGTTCGTTGTTCTGCAGAAATCGTGAATCTTTGTATGATGAAACAACATTATATTGCAATAAATTTTAACTGCCCGAGCAAGTTGAAGGGTGGGTATTACAAGAGAAAATGAGGGTAGACCCCCTCCCCCAAATTATTTGGGGGGGGGCCAAAAAGAATTTTTTGTGGGCACTCTTTATGTCCAAATTACTCATAAATATGCCCAAGATGGTCAATTAATATGAGGACACCATTTATTAGGCATTTTGCAGGATATTTTGAATTAAAAAAAAAATCCCAACCACCCTACCCCTTCTTCAACAGTGGGGTAGGGGTCAATTAAAAAAAAAATTGTGATTGTGAGTACATACCTAAGATGGTCAATTAGTATGAAGTTCACTATTTATTAGACATTTTGCAGGATGTTTGGAATTAATTTGTGATTTTAAGCATTTTACTACCCCCAATTCAATTTTGAGTATATCTAATTTGAAGAACATTCCCTCATAACTTTTCTTGTAGTGCATAAATGCCTCTGGAAAAATACCACAACCTTGCTCAAGTATCACTTGGTAGAGCCAGAAAGTATGACAGCGATGTGTTGAATTAATATGGA